ACTGTTGTTGTTGCTGCTGCTGTTGTTGTTGTTGCTGTAAAGCTGCCAATTGATGTGGTTGTAGGGGAGCATTATAAGTCCATACAATACGATCACGATCCGAAGCCTTTGTTAGGGAAGAAAATTGTTTAAAATAAAATATTAGTAAAAGCTCTATTACAATTTATTTTAATTTTATTAAAAGCTTTTTATGTTTTAGCTGTAAAACTAAATTTTTCTATTTTTGTTTATTTTGTTTAAAACAAAAATAAAGAGAAGCACTTAATTATTTTACAATTTTGTAATTTAAAACTATGTATATATTACATTAAAATTGCAACTTTTTTTGGAATTTTAGTGCTTCTCATCTCTAAGTTTCTCTAGTTTTCTAATAATAAATTTTTAACATTTTGTTTAAACAACTATTTGAAATCTATATTTTAATAAAACTGTACAAGTTTTGGAGTCTATAGTCTAGTCTATAGTCTAGTCTATAGTCTAGTCTATAGTCCAGTCTATAGTCTAGTCTATAGTCTAGTCTATAGTCTAGTCTATAGTCTAGTCTATAGTCTAGTCTATAGTCTAGTCTATAGTCTAGTCTATAGTCTAGTCTATAGTCTAGTCTATAGTCTAGTCTATAGTCTAGTCTATAGTCTAGTCTATAGTCTAGTCTATAGTCTAGTCTATAGTCTAGTCTATAGTCTAGTCTATAGTCTAGTCTATAGTCTAGTCTATAGTCTAGTCTATAGTCTAGTCTATAGTCTAGTCTATAGCCTAGTCTATAGTCTAGTCTATAGTCTAGTCTATAGTCTAGTCTATAGTCTAGTCTATAGTCTAGTCTATAGTCTAATCTATAGTCTAGTCTATAGTCTAGTCTATAGTCTAGTCTATAGTCTAGTCTATCTATAGTCTAGTCTAGTCTATAGTCTAGTCCATAGTCTAGTCTATATTCTAGTCTATAGTCTAGTCTATAGTCTAGTCTATAGTCTAGTCTATAGTCTAGTCTATAGTCTAGTCTATAGTCTAGTCTATAGTCTAGTCTAGTCTCTATAGTCTAGTCTATAGTCTAGTCTATAGTCTAGTCTATAGTCTAGTCCATAGTCTAGTCTATATTCTAGTCTATAGTCTAGTCTATAGTCTAGTCTATAGTCTAGTCTATAGTCTAGTCTATAGTCTAGTCTATAGTCTAGTCTATAGTCTAGTCTATAGTCTAGTCTATAGTCTAATCTATAGTCTAGTCTATAGTCTAGTCTATAGTCTAGTCTATAGTCTAGTCTATAGTCTAGTCTATAGTCTAGTCTATAGTCTAGTATAGTCCATAGTCTAGTCTACTAGTCTATAGTCTAGTCTATAGTCTAGTCTATAGTCTAGTCTATAGTCTAGTCTATAGTCTAGTCTATAGTCTAGTCTATAGTCTAGTCTATAGTCTAGTCTATAGTCTAGTCTATAGTCTAGTCTATAGTCTAGTCATAGTCTAGTCTATAGTCTAGTCTATAGTCTAGTCCATAGTCTAGTCTATATTCTAGTCTATAGTCTAGTCTATAGTCTAGTCTATAGTCTAGTCTATAGTCTAGTCTATAGTCTAGTCTATAGTCTAGTCTATAGTCTAGTCTATAGTCTAATCTATAGTCTAGTCTATAGTCTAGTCTATAGTCTAGTCTATAGTCTAGTCTATAGTCTAGTCTATAGTCTAGTCTATAGTCTAGTCTATAATCTAGTCTATAGTCTAGTCTATAGTCTAGTCTATAGTCTAGTCTATAGTCTAGTCTATAGTCTAGTCTAGTCTAGTCTATAGTCTAGTCTATAGTCTAGTCTATAGTCTAGTCTATAGTCTAGTCTATAGTCTAGTCTATAGTCTAGTCTATAGTCTAGTCTATAGTCTAGTCTATAGTCTAGTCTATAGTCTAGTCTATAGTCTAGTCTATAGTCTAGTCTATAGTCTAGTCTATAGTCTAGTCTATAGTCTAGTCTATAGTCTAGTCTATAGTCTAGTCTATAGTCTAGTCTATAGTCTAGTCTATAGTCTAGTCTATAGTCTAGTCTATAGTCTAGTCTATAGTCTAGTCTATAGTCTAGTCTATAGTCTAGTCTATAGTCTAGTCTATAGTCTAGTCTATAGTCTAGTCTATAGTCTAGTCTATAGTCTAGTCTATAGTCTAGTCTATAGTCTAGTCTATAGTCTAGTCTATAGTCTAGTCTATAGTCTAGTCTATAGTCTAGTCTATAGTCTAGTCTATAGTCTAGTCTATAGTCTAGTCTATAGTCTAGTCTATAGTCTAGTCTATAGTCTAGTCTATAGTCTAGTCTATAGTCTAGTCTATAGTCTAGTCTATAGTCTAGTCTATAGTCTAGTCTATAGTCTAGTCTATAGTCTAGTCTATAGTCTAGTCTATAGTCTAGTCTATAGTCTAGTCTATAGTCTAGTCTATAGTCTAGTCTATAGTCTAGTCTATAGTCTAGTCTATAGTCTAGTCTATAGTCTAGTCTATAGTCTAGTCTATAGTCTAGTCTATAGTCTAGTCTATAGTCTAGTCTATAGTCTAGTCTATAGTCTAGTCTATAGTCTAGTCTATAGTCTAGTCTATAGTCTAGTCTATAGTCTAGTCTATAGTCTAGTCTATAGTCTAGTCTATAGTCTAGTCTATAGTCTAGTCTATAGTCTAGTCTATAGTCTAGTCTATAGTCTAGTCTATAGTAGTCTATAGTCTAGTCTATAGTCTAGTCTATAGTCTAGTCTATAGTCTAGTCTATAGTCTAGTCTATAGTCTAGTCTATAGTCTAGTCTATAGTCTAGTCTATAGTCTAGTCTATAGTCTAGTCTATAGTCTAGTCTATAGTCTAGTCTATAGTCTAGTCTATAGTCTAGTCTATAGTCTAGTCTATAGTCTAGTCTATAGTCTAGTCTATAGTCTAGTCTATAGTCTAGTCTATAGTCTAGTCTATAGTCTAGTCTATAGTCTAGTCTATAGTCTAGTCTATAGTCTAGTCTATAGTCTAGTCTATAGTCTAGTCTATAGTCTAGTCTATAGTCTAGTCTATAGTCTAGTCTATAGTCTAGTCTATAGGTCTAGTTCTATAGTCTCGTCTATAGTCTAGTCTATAGGTCTAGTCTATAGTTTCGTCTATAGTCTAGTCTTATAGTCTAGTCCTATAGTCATGTCTATAGTCTAGTCTATAGTCTATAGTTCTAGTATAGGTCTAGTCTATAGGTCTAGTCTATAGTCTAGTCTATAGTCTAGTCTATAGCTTAGTCTATAGTTCTAGTTCTAGTCTTAGTCTATAGTCTAGTCTATAGTCTAGTCTATTAGTCTAGTCTATAGTCTAGTCTTAAGTTAGTCTAGTCTAGCTCTAGTCTTATTAGTCTAGTCTTAGTCTAGTCTATAGTCTTAGGTCTATAGTCTAGTCTATAGTCTAGTTCTATAGTCTAGTCTTATAGTCTTAGTCTATAGTCTAAGTCTATAGTCTATAGACTATAGTCTAGTCTATAGTTCTAGATCTATAGTCTAGTCTATAGTCTAGTCTATAGTCTAGTCTATAGTCTAGTCTATAGTCTTTAGTATATAGTCTAGTCTATAGTCTAGTCTATAGTCTATGTCCTATAGTCTAGTCTAATAGTCTAGTCTATAGTCTAGTCTATAGTCTAGGTCTATAGTCTAGTCTATAGTCTAGTTCTATAGTCTAGTCTATAGTCTAGTCTTATAGTCTAGTCTATAGTCTAGTCTATAGTCTAGTCTATAGTCTAGTCTATAGTCTAGTCTATAGTCTAGTCTATAGTCTAGTCTAGTCTATAGTCTAGTCTATGTTAGTCTATAGTCTAGTCTATAGTCTAGTCTATAGTCTAGTCTATAGTCTAGTCTATAGTCTAGTCTATAGTCTCGTCTATAGTCTAGTCTATAGTCTAGTCTATAGTCTAGTCTATAGTCTAGTCTATAGTTAGTCTATAGTCTAGTCTATAGTCTAGTCTATAGTCTAGTCTATAGTCTAGTCTATAGTCTAGTCTATAGTCTAGTCTATAGTCTAGTCTATAGTCTAGTCTATAGTCTAGTCTATAGTCTATAGTCTATTTTATAGCTCTAGTCTAGTCTAGTCTAGTCTATAGTCTAGTCTATAGTCTATGTACTATAGTCTAGTCTATAGTCTAGTACTAGTCTAGTCTTCTATAGTCTAGTCTATAGTCTAGTCTATAGTCTAGTCTATAGTTCTTAGTCTATAGTCTAGTCATAGTCTAGTCTTAGTCTAGTCTATAGTTAGTCTATAGTCTAGTCTATAGTCTAGTCTATAGTCTAGTCTATAGTCTAGTCTATAGTCTAGTCTTAGTCTAGTCTATAGTCTAGTCTATAGTCTAGTCTATAGTCTAGTCTATAGTCTAGTCTATAGTCTAGTCTATAGTCTAGTCTATAGTCTAGTCTATAGTCTAGTCTATAGTCTAGTCTATAGTCTAGTCTATAGTCTAGTCTATAGTCTAGTCTATAGTCTAGTCTATAGTCTAGTCTATAGTCTAGTCTATAGTCTAGTCTATAGTCTAGTCTATAGTCTAGTCTATAGTCTAGTCTATAGTCTAGTCTATAGTCTAGTCTATAGTCTAGTCTATAGTCTAGTCTATAGTCTAGTAGATAGTCTCGTCTATAGTCTAGTCTATAGTCTAGTCTATAGTCTAGTCTATAGTCTAGTCTATAGTCTAGTCTATGGTCTAGTCTACAATCTAGTCTAGTCTAGTCTAATCTATAGTCTAGTCTATAGTCTAGCCTATAGTATAGACTATAGTCTAGTATATAGTCTATTCTATAGTCTAGTTTATAATATAATCTTTAGTACAGTCTTTAGACAATATTTTTACAGTTAAACGAACAGACCTAATATTTTTATAAAAAAAAATCAGTAAATTTTCTTTTATATTTATTAATATTTAATAAATTATAGTTTTGTATTGTTGTGTTACAGGTGCAGAGTGTATTTGTGTTAGAAACATAAAAACGAAAGAGAAATTCAAAAAATTCGATGGCAACAAAAGAAAAGGAAAAATATTTAATAAATTATAAGCGTGCATTAATAAGAACCGCATGCCATTTAGAGTTTTTTGTTAAAAATGCATGCAATATTTTATTTTTATGATTAAAAGCAGAATTAATGTTAAATGTTTATTATTTTTTTAAATTTATTTATTGATTTCATAGAAGGCTATTTATTAATGGAGAGAAAATGGTTAAACAATTCAAACAGAAGAAATGAACTGCATGAAACTTCAGTTACCTGTCATATGTGTATTTTAAAAAACACAGTTTTCTTTTATATCAAAAATTGGTTCCTCCCCCAAAAAACTTGCAACTTCACTAGTTCAGTAACAATTTGGTTCTCTTTAAAGAGTTAAAATTTCTTGTCACATTTATTTAATGCAAAAATAATTACTTAACAAAACCTAGATATTGATCTTTTTTTCTTTCTTTCTTTATAACAAATGCATTTACTGGTCATTCACTGGCGAGTAAATGTCAAAACAAATAGTCTATGAATGTCAGTCTGCACTACCCAGTCTGTCTCAAGAATAATAATGATAATTTGTCTGAAATGATGTTGACCTTTTTGTGGTTCCAATAACAAACTTAAGAAAAATAGCATTCTAGAGTCATGTTTAATAGTAAGAAAAAGCAATAAATTATTGTATACAATGTACATTATAATTAATAAATAAAAAGAAAAAAAGAATAATAATTTAAATAGTTGTAATAAGTAGCAGTAGAGATCTCTAGACTAAAATAGAGAAAATTTATTATAATTTTTCTTTTTAAAGTGACGTTTTGTACAAAAAAAAAAAGAAAAATTAAGAAAGAGAGGGAGAAACAACAAAGTGACAACAACCTTTTGTATAGTTAAATGAGTACATTTAGTGTGTAATTGTTGTTTCTGTTGTTGCTGTTGGGTGGTTGCACATGTTGTATTATGGTTAATGGATGTTGTTGTTGTTGCTTCTGTTTCAGCTTCTGCCTCTTCTGTACTAGTACTAGTATCGGTAGTAGTTCTTGTTGTTATAAATTTCTTTAAAATATGAGTAGTAGAAGTGGGAGGAGTAGGAGGAGGTTGATTATTTGTAGTAGATTGAGTTGGTGTTATAATAATTCTCACTTTACGACGACGTTTATTGAATATATCGCGTTGACTACGAGCTTCCGGTGAAGCACATAGTATGGTATTGGATGGCGATGTTGTTGTTGTTATTTCAGTTGTTGTGCTTGCAGACGACGACGAAGAAGATGTTGTCATTGTTGTTGCAATAATAGTATTATTGTTATTATTATTAATTTTTAATTGTATACAAGTTTTAGTAGATGAAGAAGATTGCTAAAATAAAATCGTTTTTTTTTTTTTCATTTTTTTAAGGCAAAAAAATAATACACACACACAAAAACACATTGTCAAAACAACATTGAGTTGATATTGAGTAATAAAGAGTTAATAAACATTGAAAGAGAGAAAAATTGTATATAATATGAAAAAAAAAGATAAAAACAATAAAATTATAAGTTTTGGTTGTTAATTAAAAAGAAAAAAACATAATAAATCAACCAAATCAAAAATGTTAGTAAAAATATTAAAATTTTTAAGACAATAGACCAGAAACAACATGGTATGTAAGAAAGGAAGAAAAAACAAAGATAAAAAGAGAATAGAATAGAAATAGAGCTTTGGTAAAAAATATTTGCATTTGAAAAGTGTTGTAGTAAGTATAAATATTGTAATTGAATTGAAAATTTAATTTAACAAAAAACAACAATACTACACTATAGATATTTCGATATGTTATTATTTTTAAAAATTTACACAAAAACTGAAATCAAAATTCAAAAATTCTAACTATAGATTAGTCTATAGTCCAGTCTATAGTCTAGTCTATAGTCTAGTCTATAGTCTAGTCTATAGTCTAGTCTATAGTCTAGTCTATAGTCTAGTCTATAGTCTAGTCTATAGTCTAGTCTATAGTCTAGTCTATAGTCTAGTCTATAGTCTAGTCTATAGTCTAGTCTATAGTCTAGTCTAGTCTATAGTCTAGTCTATAGTCTAGTCTATAGTCTAGTCTAGTCTATAGTCTAGTCTATAGTCTAGTCTATAGTCTAGTCTATAGTCTAGTCTATAGTCTAGTCTATAGTCTAGTCTATAGTCTAGTCTATAGTCTAGTCTATAGTCTAGTCTATAGTCTAGTCTATAGTCTAGTCTATAGTCTAGTCTATAGTCTAGTCTATAGTCTAGTCTATAGTCTAGTCTATAGTCTAGTCTATAGTCTAGTCTATAGTCTAGTCTATAGTCTAGTCTATAGTCTAGTCTATAGTCTAGTCTATAGTCTAGTCTATAGTCTAGTCTATAGTCTAGTCTATAGTCTAGTCTAGTCTAGTCTATAGTCTAGTCTATAGTCTAGTCTAGTCTATAGTCTAGTCTATAGTCTAGTCTATAGTCTAGTCTAGTCTATAGTCTAGTCTATAGTCTAGTCTAGTCTATAGTCTAGTCTAGTCTAGTCTAGTCTATAGTCTAGTCTAGTCTAGTCTAGTCTATAGTCTAGTCTATAGTCTAGTCTATAGTCTAGTCTATAGTCTAGTCTATAGTCTAGTCTATAGTCTAGTATATAGTCTAGTCTATAGTCTAGTCTATAGTCTAGTCTATAGTCTAGTCTATAGTCTAGTCTATAGTCTAGTCTATAGTCTAGTCTATAGTCTAGTCTATAGTCTAGTCTATAGTCTAGTCTATAGTCTAGTCTATAGTCTAGTCTATAGTCTAGTCTATAGTCTAGTCTATAGTCTAGTCTATAGTCTAGTCTATAGTCTAGTCTATAGTCTAGTCTATAGTCTAGTCTATAGTCTAGTCTATAGTCTAGTCTATAGTCTAGTCTATAGTCTAGTCTATAGTCTAGTCTATAGTCTAGTCTATAGTCTAGTCTATAGTCTAGTCTATAGTCTAGTCTATAGTCTAGTCTATAGTCTAGTCTATAGTCTAGTCTATAGTCTATAGTCTAGTCTATAGTCTAGTCTATAGTCTAGTCTATAGTCTAGTCTATAGTCTAGTCTAGTCTATAGTCTAGTCTATAGTCTAGTCTATAGTCTAGTCTATAGTCTAGTCTATAGTCTAGTCTATAGTCTAGTCTATAGTCTAGTCTATAGTCTAGTCAATAGTCTAGTCTATAGTCTAGTCTATAGTCTAGTCTATAGTCTAGTCTATAGTCTAGTCTATAGTCTAGTCTATAGTCTAGTCTATAGTCTTGTCTATAGTCTAGTCTATAGTCTAGTCTATAATCTAGTCTTTAGTCTAGTCTTTAGTCTAGTCTATAGTCTAGTCAATAGTCTAGTCTATAGTCTAGTCTAGTCTAGTCTATAGTCTAGTCTATAGTCTAGTCTATAGTCTACTCTATAGTCTAGTCTATAGTCTAGTCTATAGTCTACTCTATAGTCTAGTCTATATGACCAAAAATCAATAAAATTAAATTTTGGAAAACAAGTTTTCTTAAAAAAAAATAACTTTTAATAATTTCCTTCAAAAAAATTGCGATTATCATATCAATATTTGATAATTTTTTAAATTATGTAACATATCGAAATTCTTTAAGAAAAAAACAAAACACATATACAACTAAAGGGATTTTTAAGGAAATGGGGGTGTTTTTAGGGAATCATTATTTTTAAACACAAACAACACAACAATTAACTACATAACTTTGATTTGTTTACTAAAAAGCAGGTTTCATATTTAAGGGATAAAAAGTGGAAAAGGATTAAAGATTGTATTGATATAGTAAGCTAAATTTGAATTGGAATGAAAACGGCTTAAATGTAATTGAGATTTTTGGTACTTAGCCTAACAATTTTGTTCATATGGAAATTTAACGATTAAAAACTAAAAGATTTAGAGAATCAATTTATGAAATTCCCAAAAATCTTTTAAGTTTTCAAAAAAACACTAAAAATACTTTCTTTTTTGTTTGATTAGGAAAAAGCAGAAAAAAATAAAACCAATTTACCTGAGAATCTTCCGAATCTTGTCTGGTATCTAATAGTGTATTCAAAGAACTATTTACATCCTCATCAATATCAATTGGTATAACAGCACCCATACCTTCACGTTGTATCTGCTGTAAATGATCTTCCGATTTGCTGGTGCGAAAACCGGCCGAATCACATTTGCGCACTATCTGACCATTATGACGACGCACCACACCCGAACTATCAGCTCCACATACTACACCACTGCCGCCCGCCAAATTCGAGGGTTCCGGACTGGTGGGCACTGAATTGGCGGTCTCCTTATCAATTAGAGGTGTAGAAAGCGAAATGGGTGAAGTGGGTACAGAAAATGAGGTTTCATCTTGTGATGTATTATTGCCTGCCCCGGCACCGGTATTGCCCACGGTTGTGGATGAGGTCGAAGAAGCAGATGAACGTTGATGGCGCGCACAGTCGACATTGTCTTGTGAGTTGCGCTGCTGTTTGTATCTTAAGGCAGCCTTTTGTTTCTTTAAAGCTTTTAAACGTTGTTTAGCCGAGGCAGAAGCTACTGAATTAGAATACTCCTCATCCTCGTGCTGTTCTTCATCGTCATCATCGCCATATTGCATTAAACACTGACGATCGCTAGCCTCATCGTCGGCCTGGCCACCAGCGCCCAAACCACCACTATTATATGTTTCCAAATTAGTAATGTCATAATTAGTTTGATCCTCTTCGTTTTCCTCATCCTCTGCCGCATAGCGTTCATAGTCTTCATCCGGCTCTTCGTCTTCATTTTGATAGTATTCATAGGATTTGTTTTGTTGTTGCTGCTGGCGAGTTTGCTGTTGATAACATTGTTGCTTGTGCTTTTGCATATAATGGTGATGTTTAGTCTTATGGTGTGTTTGTTGCTGAGGAGGAAGATTGCGGTGTACATCCCCCTCCTCATCGTAGTCTTCGTCACCCATATCCTCCTCATCCTTTTCCAGTTCTTCACACAGTAGAAGCGTGTCATTGGTAAGAGAATCCTTGCGATTATTGTAGCTATTATTAATACTATCACGTTGATATTGTTGCTGCTGTTGCTGCTGTTCCTGTTCTCGTTCCTTTTGCGCCTGCGCTTGTTGTTGTTTACGTAAACGTGATTTAGCCTTATTTTGTAATTCCGCCGAGTCGGTGCTGTGTGTGGGTGATTCTTGCGATGAGGAGGAAGTGGGTGAGGATTCTCCCGAAGCTTTTGGCGCTAAGGCACCATTAGCCCTTGCTACTGCCGCTCTATTGGGTGAGTCCCTTAGTGAATCGACTTTTTTAGCTTGCACTGGTAAAAGATTGCTATTTTGTGGTGTTCGCGATAGATTTAAAATCAAATCACCCGTCATCATATAAGCCTCGAAACGTGGTGCCTTTGCTGGCTGTGGTGGTGCTGAGTTGGGCTCAGGATCTCTCTCCTCCGCGGCATAAGAGGAGGAGGAAGAGGATTTGCCTTGTCTCGTTGTATTGCCGCTGTAGGAGAATGAATGTTGCAAGTTATTGGAACCCACCATAAAACTAGTACCATTAGTGGTGTTGGTAGTTGCTGTTGTTGTAGTGGCAGCTGCTGCTGCAGCCGCTGCCGCTAGTGAGGCTTTAGTGGGTATTTGTGAGGGTCTTGGTCGTTTATGTTGCGGTGATTGTTGAGTTTTTTGTGTGGGACATTTTAAAGCCTGAGGTATGCGTGAAGGACGACTTGTGGGAGAGGTGGCTGTTGTTGATGTTCCAGTACCGGCTCCACTACCTCCTCCTCCTCCTCCCCCACCACCCGCCAAACCCTCTACCAATTGTATTTTAGCTGAAGAGACTGATGAACTACGACTATGATTACTTGTCGTATTGCTGGATTGACGTTGTGGCAAGTTTGTTGCTGTTGCAGATATTGTTGATTTATAACGTGTGGCGGCGGGTGAACTAGAAGTTGGTGATTGTTGTTGTTGCTGTTGTATCGTCGTATAATTGTGCGTCGTATCGTAATGCAATTTATTGGCAGCTTCGTGATGTTGTTGTTGGTGATGATGATGAGGTGATGATGTTCTTGAATGATGATAATCGTAATTATTTGTTGTTTCTATATCTATATAATGTGGGCTTTTTGTATTTGCTAATTGTTCTTTAATGCGTGCTTTTAATTTTGGATCTGAAATTATTTACAAAAGAAATATTAAAAGAATTAATGAATTATTAAAAATTTGTTTGTTTAACTTTACTTCAACTTTATTCAGGGATTCCAAAAGAAATATTATTCTTTTAAATAAACTAATAGTATTTGTTTAGCATAAGAATCAGTCTATATGTTTGATTTGCAATTGATCTTTTTAACAAAGTCTTGCAATAAAATTCCATTCTTTTTATTTAATTTAATTAGATTTTAGTTTATTTCCTTAAAGTAACATAAAATTACCTCTTTTCAGTTCCAATGTTACTAAATCCTCCGATAAACGCAAACATTTTAATACCTCTTTCGTTGTGTATCGATGTACATCGGTTCCATTAACTTTTAAAATCACATCGCCAGCTTCCACCTAAAACAAAATATTTTGCAAAAAAAAACCAGATTAATAAAATATTAAATTTAACTTAAAATTTATTTAAAAAATTTTCGCATTTAAAACAAAAATTTCTTAAACATTTGTAGTATTTTCAGTTACATATATTTTTCAAAAAGTTTCTTTTTAAAGTTCATTATTAACAAGTAAGAAGTCTATATTCGCCTTTGCCGAATCTTATATACCCTTCACCATAATGTGTTTAAAAAATATTAATTTTATAAAATGTCAATTTATTTCATCTTCCCGACCCTGTCATAACTTAAGCAAAACAAGAGAAACAACAACAATGCTAAACGAAATAAAAAACAGAAAAAACAAAATACACAACGTAATGAAACTACAGCCATCCAAACATTAGAAACAATATACACAAAAAAAACAAAAACAAAATACACAAGGCGATGAAGCCACAGCCATCCAAACATATGAAACGAAATACATACACAAAAAAACAAAAACAAAACACACATCGCAATGAAACCAACCTTTTATACAATAAGCAGTGTTGTTGTTGCTTTTTTGATGAAATTTTCAGAGGTTGTCTCGGATTTTTGCTCATATCTCCGTTATTTATGGACCGATTTTGCTGATTTTTAATAGGAAACTTCTCGAAAGTATGTCCAACAGAATTATTGAAGATTTGGATCCCGAAGATATCTAGGGTCTTCAGAAAATTGATTTCAACAAACACACAGATAGACGGACAGACAGACAGACGGACATAGCTTAATCGACTCCGCAATCTATAAAGACTCGGAATATATATACTTTATAGGGTCGGAAAATTATATTGTAGAAATTACAAACGGAATGACAAACTTATATATACCCTTCTCACGAAGGTGAAGGGTATAAAAATTTCTAAATTAAAATAAAGTCCTTTTTATCTTATTACTTTAACCAAACAGTATTACAACTATTCATGTAATATTCATTATACAAATCCTTTAAACAAAATGACAAACTTTAACAAAACCATCATCAACATTCTTTTCTCTATCTTTGCAAAAAAAATCCTTTATTCACCCAATACATAACACCATAAAATCCTTTACTTACTCACACACCACAAAAATCGAACAAAAAAAAGGAATTAAATCGAAAAAGGAAGTGTAACAATGAAAAACGCAAAATCCAAATGCATTTTTCTTTTGATGGCAAATGCATTTGAACAATATTATGGTAAGAGTAGAGTAACCACCTTGCAAGTAAATAAGTAAATAGGTGGGGTAATGGCAAAAAAAATGTACTAGATTTCATCTAGTCTATATACATACAACAAAAACACATACATTTAGTGTTTATATATAAGACGATTTCTTTTTATGCGTGATATTTTATTGATTTTTTTTCTGTATTTCATTTTAGTTGATTTTTATATTTTATTTTTCTTTTATTTAAAAGAATATAGAAAAAAATTGCAAAAAAAATTTTTTATAGAAAATGTATTTAGAAAAAAATATGGTACAAAATACATAATAGTTTATAGTATTTGAAAAATACAATACGTTATTTTGAGTGGTTGATTGTGGGTTACATATCATACTACATATAGTTTTATTATTTGTAGTCTATCTATAATATATTCTATATATAGTAAAGACTTTTTGTCTATCAAAAAAAAAAAAAAAAAAACAAAGAAACATTTTGACACTTAACAAAAGATCATAAACGAAAATTGATATGCATTTGTATAAGGAAGAAGAAGAAACTAGAATACTATAAAAACAAAAAGATGAAAAAGGGGTGTGTTGCCGTATGCAATTTTTCAAATAGCTAAAGTTTTAGTTCAGACTATAGACGAAACTATAGTTCACATTAAAGACTAAAGTATTGTCCAGACTATAGACTAAACTACAGTCCGGATTATAGACTAAACTATAGTTCAGACTATTAACTAAACTATAGTTCAAACTATATACTACATTATAGTTCAAACTATAGACTAAACTATTTTCTAGACTAAACTTGAGTCTAAACTTATTCAGACTATAGACCAATATATATTCTATACTATAAACTAAACCATAGTACAGACCGTAGACTAAACTACAGTCCAGATTAAATTATAATACAGACTAAACTAGAGTCTAGACTATAGACTAAACTAATCCAGACTATAAACTAAACTATAGTCCAGACTATAGACTAAACTTTTGTCCATGCTATATGTTAGTATATAGTCCAGACTTAAATATAAAACAGACTAAACTGGCGTCTATACTATAGACTAAACTATCGTCGAGACCATAGACTAAACTATTGTCTATAGTCCAGACCATAGACTATAATCGAAGCTAAAAACTAAAGTACTGTCCAGACTATAGACTATTCTATAATCCGTACTATAGAACAAACTATTGTCTATGTTCTGACTATGTTCATACTATAAACTAAACTATAGACTAAACAATAGTCCAGACTAGAGTCTAAATTATAGTCCATACTATAGACTAAATAATAATCCAAGCAATGGACTAAACTATATTCCAAACTATAGCCTAAACTATAGTCCAGACTATAGCCCACATTATTCTACAGATTTTAAACTAAACTATAAACCAGGCTATTGAATATAGATAATCTATAGTCCAGACTATAATCTAATAAACTATAGTCTAGAGTCTATACTACAGACTAAATTATCAGGCTTTTTTTAGCTTTTTTTATAAAATTATTATTTTTGCTAAAAAAAAATAAAAATTCATTAAATATGTTAACATTGCAACTCTCTTTCCCCAACTATAAATCTTTATTATACATATTTGATAACTTCCCCTTTTCAAATGTCACACCCTGTAAACTGTCATTTTCCATCAGATAACAAGCAAACAGATTGATATGAATGCATGAAAGATGTATGTAATAGTAACAACAATAACAATGTTATTATAACACTCTTCTTCTTCTTCTATTAAATTTATGATAAAATGGGAGGTTGTGGTTGGGGTTGCTGTATAAATAAACATGTTCTCGCCTCAATAGAGAATAAAACATAACAATAACAATGTATGTATAGATGTAAGTTTGTTTAAATAAATGTCTATTATGTAAATACAATGCTACAAAACTACCGTTACAAGTATAGATTTATTGATGATTACATTGGAGCAAGAGTGACTGAGTAAGTAAATATGTAAGTAAATATGAATATCTGTGCGTGTGTGATAAATGGCTAAATGAATGGGATAAATGCCAAAAAAAATTTACACTAAAGAGATAAAAATATTAAATTAAGAGGAAGCATTTGTTGTAACTAAAATATTACTATATATGTATAACTTTATTGAGTATATGTTGTATTTATTATATGTAAATATTTTTAAAACTGTTACTTTAATAGAGATAATCATATTATAGATTATTTTTGTTGTTATATTTTTATCTTTTCCCTTTTGTGTGAAAACAATTGAACAAGTAATATTTACTAATATCTATAGAGAAATTAATATTTATTTAAAAATTTACTGTTGTTGTTATTTTTTTTGTGTTTTTCGCCATATTTAAAACAAAGTAAATATTTACATAGTGCTTTAATTACGTGGTTTCGCTTTTATGATTAAATACAAAAAAATAAAACAACCACAGCAATACAACAAGTAAGTACAGTGGGTAGAGTTAAGAAAAAAAGGGGTAAAAAACTTCATCTGAGATAAAAAATGTCTAGAGAATTAGGTGAATACTAATGTCAAAGCTAAAGACTAGACTATAGACTAGACTATGGACTAGACTATAGACTAGACTATAGACTAGACTATAGACTAGACTATAGACTAGACTATAGACTAGACTATAGACTAGACTATAGACTAGACTATAGACTAGACTATAGACTAGACTATAGACTAGATTATAGACTAGATTATATACTAGACTATAGACTAGGCTATAGACTAGACTATAGACTAGACTATACTAGACTATAGACTAGACTATAGACTAGACTATAGACTAGACTATAGACTAGACTATAGACTAGACTATAGACTAGACTATAGACTAGACTATAGACTAGACTATAGACTAGACTATAGACTAGCTATAGACTAGACTATAGACTAGACTATAGACTAGACTATAGACTAGACTATAGACTAGACTATAGAATGACTAGACTATAGACTAGACTATAGACTAGACTATAGACTAGACTATAGACTAGACTATAGACTAGACTATAGACTAGACTATAGACTAGACTATAGACTAGACTATAGACTAGACTATAGACTAGACTAGACTATAGACTAGACTAGACTATAGACTAGACTATAGACTAGACTATAGACTAGACTATAGACTAGACTATAGACTAGACTATAGACTAGACTAGAGACTAGACTATAGACTAGACTATAGACTAGACTATAGACTAGACCTAGAGACTAGACTATAGAATAGAACTATAGACTACTATAGACTAGACTAATAGACTAGACTATAGACTAGGACTATAGACTAGACTATAGACTAGACTATAGACTAGACTATAGACTAGACTATAGACTAGACTATAGACTAGACTATAGACTAGACTATAGACTAGACTATAGACTAGACTATAGACTAGACTATAGACTAGACTATAGACTAGACTATAGACCTAGACTAATAGAGACTAGACTATAGACTAGACTATAGACTAGACTATAGACTAGACTATAGACTAGACTATAGACTAGACTATAGACCTAGACTACTAGACTAGACTATAGACTAGACTATAGACTAGACTATAGACTAGACTATAGACTAGAACCTATAAGACTAGACTATAGACTAGACTATAGACTATACTATAGACTAACTAGACTATAGACTAGACTATAGACTAGACTATAGACTAGACTATAGACTAGACTATAGACTAGACTATAGACGACTAGACTATAGACTAGACTAGACTAGACTATAGACTAGACTATAGACTAGACTATAGACTAGACTATAGACTAGACTATAGACTAGACTAT